AAATAGTTTTCCTTTAAATCAAGTAAAAAAAAAAAAAATCCATGCAATAGAAAGTTTATTCTTGCCTCTTAATCGGCCTCTCTCCTATCTTCTCTCTGTTTCAGCGTTGTGGCCTCTAAGATTCTTTGGCATTCAAAACTTCTGGGAATATCATGTGTCTCGTACTGTGGTTCTATCCTCTTAACCTTTTAAGTCACTACAGGGTTCAGCAGTGACATAGTGCTTCAGAGGATGACCCTACAATACACGGAGGGGGGGCACAGGCATTCATTGCTTCTGGGAGTGATGAATGCTTAAGAGTCCTATGAAGCATATAGTGCTGGAATGGAGGGAAGGTAGGAGTCGTCGAAGAGGTGAGCATCAGTCATATTGCAGGGACCCTTAATCTGGAGTAAAAAAAAAAAAAAAACCTGATGGTTGTTTTAAAAGCCCAGCTCAGTGTGACTGCAGTGCAAGTTAATATTAAGTGCATTTCCAGGTTTTTAGTATAATGCCATTATGCTTTTGGGTTTGCAGTTAATAATAAGTTTGTTCCCTGAACTTTCTGTCTACATATAGCATAGCTCAGTAAAAATTAGATGATGCACGGTTTGTGCTGGGTAAGTAGAAGCAGAATGCAGACACAGGACTGCACATTGACTGCAGAAGGTTTAAGTGTGGAGTTTGTGTAAACTCTTTTGGAACTGCTGTTTACAGAAATATGAGGTTATAAAGGTGTAAAGCTCCATAGAATAAGGCAGATTTACTAAAGGAGGTGAGAATGTTCACTTAGTGTGAATATCCACTTCCAATCATGTAAAAAATCAAATCCTGGTTTACTTATTTTATTTGCACATAAATGGATAATTGATGTGAATATTCATACAATTTCTGTACTCTGTTTTAGTAAATCAGCCTCAATGAGTTGTAAGAAACTGCAATCCCAGCACACCAAAATCCTTGTTCTATAGCTTTGCAAGGCATTATGGACAATTATACAGTATTTGACGTAAAATGTTTACTTCCGTACTACTTTTTAACATTTTGTAGTATTGCAACCTGGAATTACAATGGATTTTAGTAGGATTGTTACCATTGATTTGCACAACATACTTAAGAGAAAGTTCAGATTGTTTTCATTTCACTCGCAAGTTAAACATTGTAGACATTTATCATCTCCTATACTATTAACTTGCTTAGTAGGAACTTTCCAGAACCACCTTAGGCTGCAATTACAGTTTCAATCTTCTGGTGCACCTCTATTAGATTTTGCACATTTAAAATCCTGTACCTTCTTGCAAAGAATTCTTGATTGCACTGAGGTCTATATTTTGACTGGATCATTTTAATACATGTTGGATTGTAGTTTTAAACCACTCCAGTGTGGATTTGGTCATGTTAACAGTCATTTGCTTGCTGGAAGATATGTTCCTCCCCCATTTCAGGTATCGTACAGACTGAAATAGGTAAACTTAAGAATTACCCTGTCTTTAGTACCCTCGAACTGTCCCACAGTCATGACCTTGATGTTCTAAGAGAAGTTTTGGCTTTTCTCTGCACTTAAATGGTTGAACTTAAAGGAGAACTATGAGGTGAGTGCTTTTCACTCACCTCATAGTTCTAGCCGACCTGTGACAATGAGACTGTCACAGGTTGGCTCAGTAGATCAGGAAGTGAGCGAACACATACCGGTGTTCACTCACCTCCCGATCCTGTCACAGCTCTCTGCTGTGACCGGGGAGGGGCTGGATTCCCCCCGCTCCGATCCGCCAGCGCTGACTGGCGGAACGGGAGGGGGCCAGCTGTTACTCGCGCAGCTGGGCGGATCCAGACATAATTGTCGGGATCCGCTTCAGCTGCGGCGTCTCAGTATACCGTGAGCTGTAGCTCGCGGTATACTGAGCTTAGGGTGACAGGAGGACACTAGTTTGTGTCCTCCCGTTACCCTAAGGAGAACTATGGGGAAAAGCCTTAACCCCATAGTTCTCCTTTTAAGGCCAGAAAGTTCAGTTTGGGGGGCGGGGGCTTCTTTATTACTTTATCTTTTATCAGACTTGCAAGTCTGCTGCAGGCACCTATCACCAGCAGCAGAATTACAAAGGAGAGGGAAACCCTTACTGTAATGGAGTGACTTGCTGACTCTGTATAGTGCAGGATCTCCTTCCCTAGTGAGATGGTGGAAAGAAACATCTTCCTTGTTCAGCCACCAATTCATGGGAAAAAGTAAATGGCCAGTTAGCAATCCTGTTGCCAGCGATAGGATTGCTTGACGAAAATCTCCATGATCCTGTGTATTTAGAAATGTTCTCTAAGGCTCCGTTCACACATCACGTTTATTTTTCAGTGTGGTTTTCTGTGCATTTGTATGCG